TAGTTTTCGAAACCCGGTACCTTCGGGTTTCGAGTGCTATGTGTTTCTATGAGGAGCTCAGTCGAAAGGAGCAATTTTCGCTACATTTCCCCCTTCGGAAGAAGCAACGTGCCGCTGCGATCTGGTCTGGCTTCTGATAACAGGTTTCCTGGAAATAATGGGCTTTCGTTTCATCGTCTAGTTGTACTTTTGGATCAAGATAGGGCTACAATCTCAGTACGTGAACGATATCTTTTGAATTCCGTTGTTTCCTATTTTGTTCCTATACGTTCTATTTCGTATGTCAAGTCAGAGAGCTGTCGTTTTATTCTATACAGTCCAACTAACATCTTAGGAGCTTTTCGGATAATCCAACCTTTCATACTGGACTGAAGACCCAGACTAAGTTTCCGATGTTGTAGCTGACTGTTCGATGCTTGTCGTAGTATCGGCGCTTGGCTGTTGTTTGCTTTAAGAATATGGAGTTTAGCAAGCTGTCTAGCTTCTTCAGCTCCAGTAATTTTCGATACTGTATGAAAAAATTACGTCGAGAGGAGTCTGGATATCTCTGCTATAAATGAGAAAGAATTTACTGATTCCCCTTGTGTATTGTTTGGCTGAATTATAGGCATAGGTTACAAATCGTAGAATAGAATCCCAATTTTTCTATTCAACGTCTACGTACATGGACAACATGTCTGTCAGTGTCTTAGTGAATCTTTCAGTTAAGCCATTGGTGCGAGGGTGGTATGTAGTCATCAGAAGATGAGAAGTCTTGCAGAGCTGAATGACTTCTTTAACAAACGTGGATAGGAAGTTGCGTCATCATTCGTTTATCATTTATTTGGGGACACCATGCTTCAGTATAATTTCTTCAACTATTTAAGCTTAGCAATGTCGGTTCCCTCAGCTGCCGGCATTGCCTTTGTGACTGTAAATCTGGTAAGTAAAGCTGTGCAAACTATAATCCACCGGTTCCCATTTCGAGTAGCAGGAAAGAGTCCAAGTAGAGTCTATTCCAATTTTGGTAAACGGTGTGTCAGAGGTTTTTATCGGATGAAGCTGTCTTGGTGAAAGTTGAGGCGGCGATTTCCGTCTTTGGCATTCTCAGCAATGTGATACATACCGCCGTGTGCTCCAATATAAGCCCTGGCCAATAGTATTTGTTCCTTACTTGGTCGTACGTTTTGGCAAATCCGAGATGACCATCGGTTGGAGCATCATGAAGACATCTTAGAACCTGTCTACGAAGTTGCTATGGTACTACCAAGAACTATTGCTCTCCCATAGGATCATAACTTAATTTGTAGAGTATACTATTTCTTATTTGATAATTTCAATAACCTCTCTTGAGAGTTGTATTAATGGATTTTAATTTTCACCTCTCTTGAGAGTTGTATTAATGGATTTTATTTTTTTGTCCTTCTGCTGCTTTTTCCCGTCATCTACGATTACTGTGAAGAAAGGGATGTCTTCATTGTTCCCAATTATTGGTTCCACAAGTGGCTTCCTTGATAGTGAATCTGCATCGGAGTGTTTGCGACCGCTCTTGTAGACGATATTTATGTCGTATTCCTGCAAGCTGAGAGCCCACTGTGCATGTCTTCCGGATGGATTCTTAACATTGGCCAGCCAGCGTAAAAAGTGGTGATCCGTGACTACCGTGAAGGGTTTTTCATAGAGATATGGCCTGACTTTACTGATTGCCCAGATGACGGCAAGGCATACTTTTTCGGTCATGGAATAGTTCCTTTCAACTGCAGTAAGAACCTGGATGCATAGGCTATCGGTCTTTCTTTGCCATCCTCGATCTGAACCAGTACTGTACCTAAACTATAGCCGCTAGCGTCAGAATGTATCCTCGTTTCTGCGTCTGGATTAAAATGTCCCAAAACAGCACCACTGGTCAGCAACCTTTTGATCGTTGCAAAAGATTCAATATGTTATGCGTTTCAAGAAATTTTGCATCTTTCTTCAACAAGTCATGCAGAGGCTTTGCGATATTCGCGAAAATTTTAATAAATCGTCGGTACTAGGAGTGCAAGCCCAGAAACCTTCAGACATCAGTGATAATATGCGGAACAGGGAACTTTGTTACAGCCTCAACTTTTTGTGGATCGGGATATATCCCATGTTGATCGACTGAGTGTCCCAGTATAGTCAGTTTCTCCTTGCCGAATGAAAATTTCTTGGAATTTAGCGTCAGTCCTGCTCCTTGGATACTGTCGCGCCACGATCAAACTGCATGAGAGGTAAGTTTCTCTGTTAAGGAATGGCAGCGAGAGAGATTGTTGTTCAAAAAGATGGATAAAAAATTACAAGATAGTTTTTATGTCGATAATTGCGTAACTAGTGTACAAAATAATGCCGAACTAGAAATATTCATCGAATCTGCAACTAATGTAATGAAAGAAGGGATGTTTGACCTCAGAGGATGGGAAAGTTCTGGCATTCCTGCATTTTCAGAAAATAAAACATTACCGGTATTAGGACTGATTTAGGACAAAGATTTAGATACCTTAGAAATGGACACCAAATTTTTGAAATTTGATGAAAGATAATAGGTAACTAAAAGGAAAATCCTTTCACTAGTTAGTCGAGTATTTGATCCCATAGGTTTCCTTGCACCTGTTATGATTCAGCCTAAAATTTTGCTGCAGGCCCCTTGGAAGAACAAAGAAACCTGGGATGATGAAGTGAATGATGAAATAAAGAAAAAAAATTTTAAATGAGGAAAACAACTGAAATACTTCAAAAATATAAAAATTCCAAAATAGTTAGGTGTGATGAAGGAATCCAATTTAAGTATCCATACTTATGTCGATGCCAGTAAGACAGCTTATGCGGCATGCATTTTCTCAAGAAGTGAATCCAGTATGGGTTCAATGACTGTTCGATTACTTCAAGCCAAATCACGAATAACTCCAACGAAGACTATTACTGTACCACCTCTTGAATTAATGGCCGCTACCATAGGTGTTAAGCTGTTTAGTTCTGTGAAGCAAGCTCTGAAACTTCCCAACATCAAGACTTACTTTTGGACAGATTCTTCCACAGTTCTTACGTGGATAACTCGTCGAGAACAATGGTCGGTATTCGTTACAAACAGAATAAGTGAAATTAGAAAATTGACAACTTCGGAAGATTGGTTCCATATTTCAAATGACCAGAATCCAGCAGACATTTTATCAAGAGTTGTGGACCTATACAACTACAGAAACGCAAGTGGTGGCAAGGGCCAGCCTGGTTGAAGAATTCGAAAGAGCAGTGGCCAAAGTCAGCTGTAAATATTAACGAGAAAAAAGTAGAGATGGAGAAACGAAAGTCAGTCACCTCTGCTAGTAACACGGAACTAGAGTCAATTCCATTAAAGTTAGCCAGAAGATTCTCTAAATTTTCAAAGATGATTAGGGTTATGGCTTGGATACTGCCTTTTCAACCAAAGACCAAGGATTTAAGAAAATGTACGGAACTTAAAAATGAAGAATTGTTAAATGCACAAAGTATTATTTTCAGTGTAATACAAAAGGAATGCCACTGTAATGAAGAAACACGAAAAAATTTGAAAGGTGTTCTAATATTTGAAGATGAATAAGGAATTTTACGATTGAAGTCCAGATTGATAAATGAGGAAGAACCAAAAGATTTTATTTCTCCAATAATTCTACCATCGAAACACTTGGCAGTGAGAAGATTTATAGCCCAAGAACATATTGCTAACAATCATGCTGGGACATGATTGGACTAACTCTACTGACTATTTTACGTGAAAGATTTTGGATAGTGAAAGGGAAAAGGACTGTCCGGAGTGTTGTCAAAGAATGCTTAACATGTAAAAGGTAAAACATCTTAAGGTACATCTTTTCCGCCTCTTCCAAAAGACCGAACAGAAGTAGCAGCAGTTTTTCAAGTATCAGGTGTAGATATAGCTGGATCTCTGTTGACTAAATCTAAACAAAAGATGTGGATAGTGCTTTTTACTTGCGCCGTATTTAGAGCCGTCGATCTTGAGCTAATACCTTCACTGAGTACCAATGACTTCATCCAAGGTTTATAGCCAGAAGAGGAAGAATTTCTGTGATGTATTCAGATAATGGTACTAATTTTACAGGACTAAACAACGCTCTGAAACAATTAGATTGGACTACAATTGAAAGTGAATTTAGAGTCAACGAAATTCGTTGGAAGTTTAACCCACCCTCATCTCCATGCTGTGGAGGCTTCTGGGAACGCTTGATTGGGATTTTGAAAGATATTTTAAGAAAAAATCTTGGACGCTCCTGTTTGTCTTATGAGGAATTGTAGACTCTCGTCTGTGAATGCGAATCCATCATGAAGAGCAGACCGTTAACTTACATATCCGAGGAACAAGATCTGAAGACCTTGACCCCCTCAATGTTTCTTCATTACATTAAATGATGCTCCTGATTTGGATCAAATTGAAACGACTAATATTGTTTTCAAATGGAGACATATTCAAAAGGTTCGTGAAAATCTAAAACGAAGGTTTAAAAGGGAGTATCTGGGTTTCCTTCGTTCTTTAGTTAACAAAAGAGAAGATAAAATACATGTAGGTGACATAGTGTTAATTCGTACAGATGATAAAAAAAGGCTCCATTGGCTGTTAGGGAGAGTACTGGAACTCTTTCCAGGAAAAGATAGAATCATCAGACTTGTGAAACTGCGAACTGAAAAGGGAAACATATTGACCAATCCAACGACTGTACCCTTTGGAATTGACACCAAGTTACGAGCAAGTCATATCGGAACCTCAGAAGGTTCCGGAAGTGGTAGCTGAAAATCCTGAGCTTAATACTGACTCTAATGAAACTGTTCGCATGTCTCGCTCAGGACGAAAAATAAAACCAGTTAAAAGACTGGATTTATAAAGTTCTAAACAAACTTTTGAACTTTCTGTGTTTGAACTCTAAAATATTGATTTCAATTTGCATTCTAATATTTTGAAATATTTCTATAATTATTTGTACGTTAGATACATATTGTTATCTGAAATTGTATGTATGTATTATCATGATATTACTGTTTTGAGTTTGTATCACCAAGCTCAAGGTGGAGAGAATGTCGCAACCACGATCAAATTGCATGAGAGGTAAGTTTCTCTGTTACGGAATGGCAGGCGAGAGAGATTGTTGTTCAAAAAGATGGATGATTGAACTGCGTGTAACGATCATTTTTGTGGATGTTGCGTATTGTAAAATGAACCTATTAGACTGTTCTAAATAGTATTAAAATGCTATATATTAAAAGATCTTTCATCTGATCTAAATTTTAACAAACCGCTCATTATTTTCTCTTAAATTCACAATGATGTTCACGACAGATACGTTTCAGTCCCTCAAACGCTTTTGGTGCTTCTTGAAATTAGGTGCGTACACTATAATGTCATCGAGGTAGCAAAAGCAAATATTCAATTTGAGACCTCTGTACCGTGTCCATCATCCGTTCGAATATGGCTGGAGCATTGCATAATCCGAACGGTATGACTTAAAATTCATAGATATTATCTGGTACAAAGTAAAGGTCCACTACGTTTTTAGGACTATGGTTTGCTCAGCTCTTAAGTAAGTAATTGGAAATACGTTTTGATAATAAACAAATACAAGTCGTACCAGCTACTCATACATTTTGATTCAGTACCAACCAGCTACTCATACATTTTGATTCAGAAATTCTCGAACTTTCATAGCATATGTTACATATAATCTAATACAGGAAACGTTGTCAAGCACTGTTGTTTTCGGGGAAATGTGTTTGACATATGCTGGTCCTCATTCCGTTACAGGGTAAATTCTGAAACACAGGTCTTTGGAAAGAGAAAGTAGATTCTAAAGGTTTTCTTTTTTTGAAATGGGGGCAGAATGCGTGTTCCCTGTCTCATGTATACAGAACGTTAAAGAAACATGGAGTGATTGCCATTTGAAGTAAATAAATCGGTCCCTTGCCGCGGGCGAGTGGGCCTGAGAGAGAGAGGCGATCAGCCCACTGCGAAACGGTGAATTTGTAAAAATGAGGATAATGACCTGTCGGCACGAGAGCCTTGTGGTAGACATTTAGGCTGAGCCGAGCGACAGGACGTACGAGTTCTCGTAAACCAGGGAGAAGCTAATTAAAAACGTACCTGTTCCACATTGAGGTCGTTCGTGGAAAACTACCCAGTCTTCTCGAAGGAGGAGACGAAAACTTCCCAAGCGAAATAAATCAATAACAAAGAATGTATTCCATCCATCTTTGACACAACGATATCAATTTGAACCGAGAAATCGCCGGAAACATTCCTATAGAACTAGATCAATGTCAAAGTGTGCGTTCCATCCATCTCCGACATGACAACATCAATTTGAACCGAAGAATCACCGAAAACCTAACTATAGAGATAGATCAATGGCAAGGTGTGTGTTCCGTCCATCTTGGACGGCGGAATCTCCTGAGGACGTTTCTTGTAGTTCAACAGCAGGAGCCTCTTATACGAGGTTTGTTAAAATTGCCGATAATTTTTGTTTGCATTTATATATGTGAAACGTATGTTACTCCAGTATTGAATTGATTTTATTTCACTGAGTATTTACTAATATAATATTTTCTTTAAAATGAGAAAATAAATTTGTGTTAAAATAATGAAATATGGTCTTTAATTTGAAGTTCCACTATCGGGTTGTATGGACATTCTACGTTGTAAACTAACCCTTTTTATTAGAATAGAAAAATCTAACCACTATATAAATTAGTCATTAATCATTTATTGTTTAGTTTTTTATATATTTAAAGTGGCACAATCGAAATCGAATTTTTCTACGTAAATTTTGGTACCATAGTTAATATTTAATATTATACAAAATTCCGAAAACGTTTCGATATTGTATAGATTTGCTTATGGGAAAGGTGCTTCCCTTTACCGATATCTTTAGCAAAATCATGCAGAGTTTTTCAAACGTTTTGTAATTTAGCAAACCTACGTGTTAATGTTATTCACTTAAATCAAAATAAATAGTACTAAATTGGAGGTTGGACATTTTTAAATTAGAAATCAGAATTTTTTGAGTCGCACTGTGAAAACTGACGCAAACATTGGTGACAAGCCGCATGAAATTTTGAATTTCTTTGTTCGTTAGTGCAAAGAATATGAAAATTATCTAAGAAGACAGATGCAATCCTGGATGACTAAACGAAACTGCTTTTTTTAGATAGTAAATGCATGAAATCATTCATGGAGACTGAATGTTCACCGATATCCGAGCCATGAGCTGAAAAATCTTTATCTCAAGCATTAATGTGATAATAAAGATGGCAACAGAATTTGATATCATTTTAGGGATATTCTGAATTTTCTGAACTTCCCAATCAAGCCTATAAGTGAGGTATCAGTTAAGATTTAGCTGTGCGATTTTCACTAAAGTACAGCAGGTTGCATTTTACTGAAAATTGCATTGTATTGAATGATGGAGATAAACGATAAACTACAATGGCTCAGTTCAGTTAAATGATATAGGTCAGAATGATATAGGTAACTAACTACATGTTGTGGTAGTTTCATCCACGGGAAATGATTTTAAAATTGTATATGTTGATAAATCCTCGTCATTACAACAGAGTTTTCACATCTGGGTACCTTTAAAAAATCTCAGGGAGGTAAATTTACAGGATAATTTATTTATTTTATAGTAATTTAGATTAAAATATATCTTCCGATGAGTGCAAAAGATATCCAGCGAGAAGAAAGTATTCTTATCAAATTCTTCAGACGAAGCTCTTCTAGTTATATCACCCAATAAATTTGTAAACTCCTTTTGAAAATGTTTTAGTAAGTTATTCATATCCGTTTTCGAAGTTAATGAAAATAATATAAAATCAGAAAAAATGTATTAAAATCTCTAAATGTTTATTCAAATTCTTCTAACAATGATGCTTTTTTATTGCATATTCTTAAATGCTTTCATTTGAAATAATAAAGCATGATTTAGTACGTAGGAAATCTAGGACACGCTTTGAATCCTTTTGCAGTTCCCGTAATTGAAATTTAACCTTAATTAAAAATAGTCAATAATACATGTCACTAGCAATGGGAAGGTTCGAAAATCTGATTCCGGTGAGAGAATTTGCACATCTGCTGCTCTGAAATGAAATATATAATTATCTCTATAAGGCTTTTCTTCCCTTGCATTTCTTTACTGAGTATGTTTAAATGACCCGGAAGTTTACGAGAAATGCTAAATCAATTATATGTGTATCACAGTGGTTTTCAACCCCTTTTTACCCCCTGCACATCTTTCACACCTTCCAGATGATCATTTCTTCCCTCTTTTTCCAAATCTCAACACACACATATATATACATTTATTTAAATCATTGTGGCGACACACTGCCTTTCTGTGGCAACCCTAAAGAATTCGTCTGTCACGAGGATCACGTGCCCAGATGATGCATCATTACGTCTACGTCTGCTTTTCTGTTTGATAGTTAGTTGCACTTAAGATTTTGTAGAATTAGGAATGTCGTGAAAATAAATGTTGGTGTTTTTAAAAAGTGTCGACGCAGATTTTCGAACTTATGATTTACTTGTTAAGCAACAAATTTGGCGAGCCAGCCAGGATGAATGTCACAGGGTGACATTATCGATTTCGACACTTGATAATTTACGAAAATAAGAGAAGTTCCTAGGTGCAAACATGGATGATTTAGAAACACTAAAACAGAAGCGGAAAGCAATTAGGAGTGTATTTACGAAAACAGCTAATAAGTTAGATGAACTGATACGATCAGATTCTCCGGATTTGGACGATTTAGAAATTTATTTAGATCAAATTTCAGAGAAGTATAAAACTTTACGAAATACGGATGACTCTTTTTTGGAACTTCTACAGAAAAAAGGCTGTACTGAAGAAGAATACGAAAGAGAATTTAGTGCAGCTCAAGAATATTACGATAAATTATCTACGTTGAAAGTAAAAGCCAACAGGAAAAAGGATAAGTGTTTCACAGCCTTCTACTGGGTCAACGAATAGCGGTTCTTCATCAGGAATAGTTACAGCTGCAAAACAGAAATTGCCAGAGATCGAACTGGTGAAGTTCGATGGAGACTCCCGAAAGTGGTTGACATTTTGGACGAAGTTTAGTAAAATACATGAAGATACTCGCATCGACAAGAGAGACAAGTTTCATTATCTACTACAATCTACGAAACCTGAGACTGCGCCAAGAGCAATAGTGGAGAGTTTTCCTGCTACGGAAGAAAATTACGAAAAAGCCGTGGAGTATCTCAAAGAACGATTTGGAAATGAAAATGTTTTAATTCAAATTTATGTTAGAGAGCTATTAAAACTGGTAATCAATGACAAACAAAAGATAGACTTATTAACTCTTTATGACAAGTTGCAAACTCAACTACGCGCATTGGAATCACTCGGTTTAACTAAAGATAAATTTGCAGTTGTTTTATTTCCTTTAGTGGAATCAGCACTTCCTGCTGATTTAATACAATTTGGGAAAGACAACGAGGTATGTCTCCTGAAACAACAGGTAAGAGTGATTTAGAGTCATTAATTGATTTTCTAAAAAGGGAAGTAGAAACTGAATTTAGAGTTAAACTTACCCGTGATGTTTTTGGGTTCTGATAAAGTAAGTAATAAGAAAAATAAGTTTTTTGACACAAAACCTGTTGTTCCAACTGCATGTGAACTAATTAATGCAAATAGTAGTAAGTGTAATGATAATTTTCAAAAGTATAAAAAGTCTGATACTTGTATTTTTTGTGAAAAATCCCATTTGTCTGAAAGTTGTAAAGATGCATCTTTAATGAGTTTAGAATGTAAGAAAGATATTATTAAGAAAAAGAATGTTTGTTTTGTGTGCCTTAAGAAAAACCATAGAGCAAATCAGTGCACAGCTAAACATAGGTGTACCTTATGTAAAAATCGACATTTTGTGATTATGTGCCCTGATTTGCCTTCTAACAAAACAAAAAGTGTCACAAAGTTAGGGAATGAAGAAAACAAAACAGGCATTCTTAATAACTATGTTAAGGTATCAGATGTATATCTTCAAACTTTAATTGTAAAAATTCAGAATGGTTCTAAAGAAATGTTTGTACGAGCAATTTATGATAGTGGTTCTATGAAATCATATTTATGTAATGATGTTTGCTCAAAGGTTAAATTGTAAGTGTATTGGTGAATCAAAAATTAAGCAATTTCTTTTTGGTGGAGTTGAGACTTCAGAAAATGTATATAAAAACTATGTTATTGAAGTAAGCAATATATATAGTAAATATAAGTGTAAATTAGAGGTACTTGGTCAAAACAAAATTTGTTCTGAAATTAAGCAACTCCCATCTGGTTCGTGGTTACGCGAACTTAAGTCACATGGTATCAAATTAAGTGATTTAGAAAATGGTACATGTAAGGTAGATAAAGAGATAAAATTACTAATTGGTGCGGATTTTGCTGGTAAGTTGCTAACTGGAAAAATTGTTCCCCTTACGTGCGGCGTCAGCGCGGTGCATACGCAATTAGGCTGGACTGTTATGGGTAAATTTACTGGCACTGAGCCAACTACGATAAATACTGCATCCCTCCTAATTTCTTCTCTGTTAGTGAAGGGTCAATGTATAAGTGATCTCTGGAAGTTAGATGTTTTGGGTATTGGTGAACCTTCCGTAAGTAAAACCAAAACTCAGTTACAGGAGGATACGCAAAAATATTTTGAAGAGACTCTTACGGTAAATTCAGAGGGAAGGTACGAAGTAGCATTACCTTGGGTGTTGGATAGCTCGCTTTTACCCGAAAACAAAGTGATAGCAGAAAAATGTCTTGTAAGTACTAAAAGAAAATTAATGACTACGGGAAATTTTGACGCTTACGGAGACGTTTTCCAGAACTGGTTAGCACTCGGGATAATTGAAAAAGTACCGGATAAGAATAAATATAAGGGTGTACATTATTTACCTCATATAGAGCAGTTGTTAAAGAAAATAGTAGCACGAGTATAAGACCGGTGTTTAATGCAAGTTCTCATTCGCCTGGTTACCCATCATTGAACGATTGTTTATCTACTGGACCAAATTTAATTAGAAATTATACCTTCGATTCTTAATCGGTTTCGCAAGAATTACGTTGGTGTCACTTCAGATATAGAAAAAGCGTTCTTGCAAATATCTATAAGGGAAAAAGATCGAGACTTTTTGAGATTTATGTGGTTTCAGTAGGGATAATCAAGAACAAGTTGAACTGTATCGGCATGGAAGGGTAGTTTTTGGTATTACGTGTAGTCCGTATTTATTGGCCGCTACAATACAATATCATTTGAGTGTAGTTCCCGAAAGCTTAAGTCATCATACAGCGGAGATTTTGAAAACATCCTTTTACGTAGATAACTGTGTGGCTAGTATGGATTCAGAAAATAGAAATGAGAAAGTTTGTAAATGAATCACAAATAATTATGGCTTCGGGTCATTTTAATTTAAGATTCTGGAAATCCAATATAAGAAGTGTTGTGCCAGAGGAAGATTCCTCCACGGAAGGAGATGTGTCTGTTTTGGGCCTTGTATGGCATACAGTTACAGATACCTTATCTTGCAAAATAAGTCAAGATATAAAATTGGATGACCCAGTTACTAAAAGACTAGTTTTAGCAGTAGCTCATCAGGTGTTTGACGTTATAGGGTATACGGCTCCTGTAATGTTGATTCCAAAACTAATTTTACAGGAAACTTGGAATTTAAGGCTTAAATGGGACGATGTTCTTCCCGATGAATTAACCAAAACGTTTAAGTTTTGGCTTAAAAAGTTGTACTTGCTATCCAATATCCAAATACCTAGATGGGTAGGTCTCAAATCTATTAATGAAGCTGTCAGTATACATCTATTTTGTGACAGTAGTAAAAGTGCGTATGGTGCATGCGTCTTTTTAAGAGTACAGAGTGGCAAAAAGGTGAAGGTTAGTTTGATACACGCAAGATCGAGAGTAGCTCCTTTAAAACCTATTACGATTCCTCGATTAGAACTTCTTGCTTGTAATATTGGTTCTAGGTTATTGTCTTCAGTTGTTAATGATATTGGCCTACATGAAGTTCGTATTCATTGTTGGACTGACTCCTCGACGGCTTTAAGTTGGATACGGCGAAATCAACGTTGGGGAGCATTCGTTTTTAATCGTGTACAGGAAATCAGGTCGTTGACCTCCCCCACTGTATGGCGACATGTCCCTGGTAGTCTCAATCCTGCTGACCTACTTTCTAGAGGTTGTTATGCAGATCAATTAATAGAACGAAAATGGTGGGAGGGACCTGATTGGTTACGGGAAGATGAGGCAAATTGGCCTAAATCTAATGATGAACCAGATGAGGATTTGGTTAATTCAGAAATACGAAAGACAGTTATTGTTATATACGATACTTGGCAAAGAGTGATAATTGTATTGGATGGTACTATAAGTATTTCTCATCATTTAAGAAAATTGTAAGAATGTTATCATGGATATTCAGATTTTATAATAATGTACGTAAGAATAATAATAACAACCATTCTAAGGATTTGACTGTATCTGAAATAGAAAGGGGAGAAATAGCTTTAATGTTATTAATACAAAAAGAGTCGTTTAATGGTGAAACAGATGATAAGCTAAGACGACTCAGACCATTTGTCGATAGCCAGGGTCTAATAAGAGCTAAGTCTAATGTTGCTTATCGTGACGACTCTAGCAGCTTTAAGTTCCCCATCATATTACCTTCTGAGCATCCAGTAGTCAAATTATTGATATTAAGTGCACACAAAGATTTGTTGCATGCAGGTACTACATTATTGATGTCGCATTTAAGAGAAAGATACTGGATCTTAAAATCACGTAAAACTATAAGGAACTGTATAAGAAAATGTGTAACATGTCAGAGATTTAAGGCTAAAAGAGGTGAGACAGTCCCAGGCGTTTTACCAAATGATAGGGTTCGTGATTCAGCCATTTTTGAAATCGTAGGGTGTGATCTTGCCAGGACCCTTGCATTTAAAGGATGGACGAAAATCGTATATTGTGCTCTTCACCTGTGCGGTTTATCGTGCTATCCATATGGAACTGGTTACCTCATTAACAACTGAATCATTTTTTCAAGCTTTAAGGCGTTTTATCGCACGTCGTGGACGCCCTACCACCATATATTCCGATAATGGGAAAAATTTTGTGGGGTGCAGAGAGAGTTCTGCAAACCATTGACTGGGACAGCCTCTGCTCTAAGGCTGCTGAAAAGAGAATACAATGGAAATTTAATCCTCCATCCGCCGCTTGGTGGGGTGGATGGTGGGAGCGTTTTAATACAAATTGTAAAACAAATATTAAGAAAAATTTTAGGTCGTGCTTCTCTTGGTTATGAAGAGTTACTCACCTGTCTTGTGTGATTGTGAAAGAATTGTCAACTCAAGACCACTTACGTACGTGTCTGACGATATTGAAGATCCCTTGCCTTTAACTCCAGAAAAATTTCTGCATGAAACTCCACAGTCGGGTGTACCTGATATTGACAATGTGGACAAAGAAAAATTGAGTAGAAGAGCGAAGTATCTCCAGAGAATGAGAGAATTGTTAAGAGTGAGATTTCGCTCTGAGTATCTAGGGCAGTTAAGACAGCAGTCTACCAGAAATTACAAAAATAAACCTCTCTCTGTAGGAGAAATTGTCTTGCTGGAGGATCAAAATAAAAACCGTGCATATTGGAATTTAGCACGCGTTATTCGAGTGATCCCTGGTCGAGATGGCAACATAAGAGTTGCTCTTGTAAAAAGTAATAATTCAGAGTTCTTGAGACCAATACAGAGATTGTTTAGATTGGAACTGGATAATATAATAGATAATACTCAAAATGAGCAAGTTCCTTTCACCACCACCAGTAGTGGTAGAGTTGTAAAATCCCGAATAATGTAATTTATGTCTTTGAGTTATTATGATTAATTTTTGTGCTATTATTGTTGTATTATTCCTCAGTATTAATTTTGTTTTCAAGTAATATGATTTAAGTATTAAGTAATTTTCTTTGTTATATAACCATCATTTATATTGATGTAAGTTTTTATGTTTTGAGTGTATAGCCATTCACTCAAAATGGTGGGAGAATTGTGGCGACACACTGCCTTTCTGTGGCAACCTCTAAAGAATTCTAGTCTGTCACGAGGATCACGTGCCCAGATGATGCATCATTACGTCTACGTCTGCTTTTCTGTTTGATAGTTAGTTGCACTTAAGATTTTGTAGAATTAGAAATGTCGTGAAAATAAATGTTGGTGTTTTTAAAAAGTGTCGACTCAGATTTTCGAACCTATGATTTACTTGTTAAGCAACAATCATAATTATTTTTAATGTGTTTTTAAGTTAAATAAGGGAAAGCACATAAAATATTGATAAGTACCCAAACTTGAATAAAATTAGATTTTTATATCCATAATTTAAAAGTAAACACTTAATAAGTAAATAAAATTTTGACAGAAATCTCCCCATAAAACTATGAAATTCTCTCTTCCCCGGGGCGAATTCTCACTTGGTTGAGAACCAGTGCTGTATCATTATATAGTTCATCGATATCAATTTTTGTGTCATGAGTATTTTATTTCATTTATTAAATAAAAAGCTCTTTTTAACAAGTTATAATAAATATTTTCTCCGTACTGACGCCCAATTTCTCTCAAATAATGCCTCGAAGATGCTTTGGAGCTCCTTCACGAATCACTTTGCAGTTTTATTTAGTGTTCACATACCAGTATACATCTGGAAATGCTGGCACAGAGTGATTCTTGATGAATAATGTAATGCAAAAGTTAGTATGAAAATTTTCTTCTGTCAGTATATTTCTTTATTTCAGAAGCACTATTACAGTTCTTATTTAAGAAGAATAGCTTGAACACCAGTTTTTCTTTTCATTATTTCTAATAATTCTTATGAAAACAAAATTCTCGAATTTATTAATAACACATCGTGTAAAAACAGAAAGTTATGCTATACTTGTAATGTCAGTATTCTCATCAAATACTATTGCGAATGCTAATATATATATTTTTTTCTCTTTGGCATCTTAAAATCACTAGAGATTTCTTTAAAACTTCCGGCTACTTTGCTGGTTAATGAACTAAAATCCTTAAATAGTTGCTTTTTGGCAAGGTAAAAGCAGTGAGAAGACTTCATGAAAAATCTTAAAGGAATTCACCATTACTAATCGGTGTTTATAGTTTGCAATGATGTGCTTCAGAGCAAAACTTATGTTCACTATTAATTCACTAGATTTATTTGCTTCAATAAAAAGTTGTTGTTGTAAGCTGGATTTCAGAATCTGTAACTTCTCTTCCCTTAATTCTCCGTCGGGAAAAGGGAATTGCTTTAAGACTATTTTTGCTAATTGGGAAGTGAATTTTTAACGCTTCCCCAGGAAAGATTATTCTAGCTTGGTCGGGGGACTCTCCCTGTTTTCCAGAGAAGCCAAGATTTAATCGACGGCAACATGTGTTCCCCGGTCAGAATCCCAAGGTACCGGCGAATTGGTTAGTGAAAGATAGAAATGTGACATGAAAGTTTTCACTGGCTCGGAAATTATCAATACATATGCTGCGGATAATGTTTTATCTTTTATATACTTGCACTTGAAAGGCCTCGAGAGTGTATCAGGAAATCCTTCCAAAAATATCATCATATCAGGAAATAAAATAAGAGAACTCTTTCAACAACTGTACAAAATTATTATACCTGTTCGTATTGAAATTAGTGAGTTAAGAGGACGTTTGAAAGAAATAAAAAATGCAAATGACACTGGACTGATAAGAATTTATTTTCGGAAGATTCCAAACGTTAAAAATGGAGTTTTGATTCAAGTCGCCTTCCCCCCCAAAAGAAATTAATTAAAAGAAGATTTAACGGCTATCGAAATTGAAATCATTCAAAATGAAAACCTGAAAGAGAATTTCGAAATTAAAAATTTAATAACTTTTGTTTTGTAAAAGGCTAACACGGCTTAATGCACCAGCTTCAGCCAAAGGAAACGTTCTTTTCATCAGAGGCTAATTACTTTAATACTCTAATGGCCAAAAAGGGGGCATATGTAGTTCGATAAGTAAAGGTCATCAATTGAAATAATTTAGCATCTTCTTTAAACTCACCTTTTCATAATATAGAATGAAAATCTCTTTGTTCGGAATTTTCCCTAATTTACCTATGCATCATTTGCACATCAGGAAAAAGGGTATTTTATGCTAACGAAATATTAAAAGAATAGAATATACGTTCTGTTGAACAACAGCACATTTAATAAACTATTATTCTACTAAACTCCATTGGAAATAAGCGCTGATACATTCTAAGATGACATGTAGTTTTGTTGTAGGGCTAACTTCCATGAACACTCTAAAATGAGGCATTAGGTAATAATTTAAGTTACCTATGAACTCAAATTCTTGCTTAAAGCGGAAGCTTTTATATTCATTCATAAAATCTGTGTTAAGTGTTCTAAAGTCTGCTATTGTATCCACTTCTTTCCGTTCAGTACCCTGTTCAAGTAAACTGGCTGTATCCTCAATGTTTTCTAAATTCTAGATTTGTTTAATACTTATCTCTAATTCATACAACTATGAAATGAAGTTACAAAGGTTTACCTTTTTTCTCACTCTTCACAACTCCACCAACTACATAAACAAAAAAAAATTTCTTTTATTGTCGATGAGTTAATAAGATGAATTGCGCCGCAGAATTAAAAATATGATAAAATATTTCAGCCCTAGTTAACTTATCTACCCGACTAGGCTTGCAGAAACTATTCTCTAAAATGATACTTCGAGGAATGCGCAAATGTTAAATATCTGTCTGAGCAGTTAGAATTATATCAGTGATTTTAGGTAAGATCAAAAAGTTTTAGGTAAGTTATAAGGTTATTCTCCCACTTTCCTAGCGTGCCTTAGTGGTGCAGCGGTTCTGCACGCTGGGCCGGTATTCCAGAGGTCCGCGGTTCGATTCCCGGCGAAGGCGATGTTAATTTTTCATATGTCCAGCCTTCCCCCCCCCAAAAAATAATTCTAATGTCTTTGCAGGGGCGCCCGAACTAAAAGGTATTGGATGAGGTTTCTCTCCACCCCCGGATTGGCCGATTGGTCCCCTGAAACCCCAGTCGTTTTTAAAAAGGGAGTATATAAAGGGTATTTCCTCCTCACTTTCCTTAGCGTGCCTTCGTGGTGTAGTGGTTCTGCACGCTGGGCCGGTATTCCAGAGGTCCGTGGTTCGATTCCCGGCGAAGGCGGTGGCTATTTTTCATCTTTTCTGCTTCCAAAAATATAGCTAATGTCTCTACAAAGTTAAAAAAAGAAGCAGAAAAAGGGTTTCCTTCAGCATTCGAAATTATTAATTCTTTTTGTTTTTAATACTAAAGACTTGCCAGCTACAATTGAAACTAAACGTTTTGCCCTTGTTTATTCCAAATCAAGATTATTAGCGACAGAAATCCTACACGACAAAATCCCTTTCCTTAGGCAGTTAGTCCTCAGGCGTATTGCTGTAATCTGAATAATAAAAACTGAACCAAATAATAAAGATAAGACCATTGAATATTTTTAGGAAATATATGAAATATTTCCGAATCTTTTAACTATCGTTGCATCATTCACGAAACACTATCCAACGAACGAATATGGATTAATTCCCACTTAAACACTTAACGCATAAACACATAAACACTTAACGCATTTCACAATTAATTCCAAAAATAATAAAAGCTCTAATATTCGAGAAACTGCATATTATTAAAGTTTTTAGTATAACACTATATTATTGCACTGTGTTTCTAGTAAACTGTATATTATTACAGCTATACAATTTACAGAGAGTATTATACATTTATAAATGATTTATTTTAATAGTAATGCATCAGGATATACCTAAATTTTTAAAACGTTGCCCTTTATCGGTAGCACAGTAAAGCGGCGAACTGATAAAAGAGCAGTTAAGGTTGAAAACAAACATAGAAGTGTTTTTCAAACCTCTTCATTCTCCATGCAGTTAGACGGATCTACCACTGCAGATAACGATGTTTCATTGATGGCATATGAACGTTATTTTGATAAAAAAAAACAATATATTACAAGAGTAAATGCTATTCGCAGTAAGTCTCATCAGAGATACAGCAGCATTATCTATATTTAATTCTGCGAAGACGTACTTTACAAAAATTAATATTTCTCTGAATAATATTGTTGTGTGAGTCAAGTGAAAAAATATTGTGATCGCGCTGCTATACAAAGAAATATTCATAGATATTTTGCCGGAATCAACTTCTGGTAGAAAGTAAGAGCCAACTATAATTAATGTAAATGTAAAACATTTTTTGTGTATTTGTGTTAATGCATAAAGTATTTTTGCATGCTTGTAAAACGGAAATAAATGTCAATGTACGAAAGAGTTAAAGTAGAGTAGTGTAATAGTAGAATTATGTAAAAGTAAAAACTAGCTAGAGAATATACGACAGTTAAAGTTAGGCCCTCAAACTAATACTAAGTTAATTTTTTTTCACTAGAATTAGCACTTCAGGACTGGGAATTGAATGTAAATATATCTCTGAAGTCTTG